GTTCATGACGTATTGCCGCATTACAAATGCAAACATTTAAGATAGCTTGCCAGGCAAGGTAATATACGCCCGCTGGCAGCTTTGATTTTGAATGAAAATATTTAGCAATACAGTAACTATCACCAGTATGAAATATTCAACCTTCAGTCATACACTTCTTTTGAACTCTTTAGAGCGATACTGAATAATATTGAGTTATTTCCCTTGTTCTTGAAAACGTGTTCAATTTTTAGCTCGTGAAAACTCTAGAAGGCAAATATTCAATCTTCAGCGGGGGACTGAATAATAAAACCAAGTTTTGTCAAAATCCAGCAAGAATCATGCATTTAAGTGTTTAAGAGCTAAATTTGAAAGCATTTTCAAGAACAAGGGCAATAACTCATACTAAATATTTTTCGATTTTTCTGATTTTCAAGTTGATATTTAGTTGAAATCTAATATCGGCCTAGTGAAACATTGCTTTTAAGTTGAAATGTAATATTTGTCCTTATGAAACATTGATATCAATTTTAAATCTAATATTTCCCTGATGAAACATTGTTATCAATGATAAATCTAATATTGTACTGGTGAATATAACAAAACATAACATAAAAAATTTGTTTTGTTTTTGATTTGATATATGTGCTCCTCGCTTCTATATGTCGTTCAAATCTTGAACTGGTGAAAGATTGAAATGTAAATTGTAATTCCAATTTGGTAGGATGAAACATTGATATCAATTAGAAATATCAATTGATATCAAGTACAAATCTAATATTTGACCTGGTGAAACATTGTTATCGAGTAGAAAAATCTAATATTGGCCTTTTAAAAATTTGGTATCATGTTGAAATCTACTATTTGACCCGATACAACAAAGATATCAAGTCGAAATCTAATATTTGACCTTGTGAAACATTGCTATCAAGATGAAATCTAATATTTGACCTTGTGAAACATTGCTATCAAGATAAAATTTAATATTGGCCTTGTGAAACGTTGATATCATGTTGGCCAAGTGAAACATTGATATCAAGTTAAAATCTATATTTGGCCTAGTGAAACATTGATATCAAGTGAAAATCTAATTTTGTGTCTGGTGAAACGATGATATCAAGTTGAAATCTAATATTTGACCTGATGAAACATTGACATTATGTTATCTAATTTGTGCTTGGTGAAGCATTGCTTTCAAGTTGAAATTTAACATTTGACCTGGGAAACATCGATATATTTTTGAAATCTAATATTTAAACTCGTGAAACATTGATATCAAGTTGAAATTCAATATTTGACCTAGTGAAACATTGATATCTTTTTGAAATCTAATATTAATCCTGGTGAAATATTGCTATCAAGTTAAAATCAAATATTTGACCAGGGCGAAACATTGATATCAATTTGAAATCTAACTTGTGCCTGGTCAAACATTGATATCAAGTTGAAATCTAATTTATACGGGTCAAACATCAATTTGAAATCTATATTTGGCCTGATCAAACATTGATATCAAGTTAAAATCTATATTTGGCCAAGTGAAACATTGATATCAAGTTAAAATCTATATTTGGCCAAGTGAAACATTGATATCAAGTTGAAATCTAATTTATGCGGGTCAAACATCAATTTGAAATCTATATTTGGCCTGGTGAAACATTGATATCAAGTGGATATCTAATTTTGTGTCTGGTGAAACATTGATATCAATTTGAAATCTATATTTGGCCTGGTAAACATTGACATTATCTTATCTAATTTGCGCTTGGTGAAACATTGCTTTCAAGTTAAAATTTAACATTTGACCTGGTGAAACATTGATATCTTTTTGAAATCTAATATTTAAACTGGTGAAACATTGATATCAAGTTGAAATTCAATATTTGAACTGGTGAAGCATTGCTTTCAAGTTGAAATTTAACATTTGACCTGGTGAAACATTGATATCTTTTTGAAATCTAATATTTAAACTGGTGAAACATTGATATCAGGTTGAAATTCAATATTTGAACTGGTGAAACATTGCTTTCAAGTTGAAATTTAACATTTGACCTGGTGAAACATTGATACCCTTTTTGAAATCTAGTATATAAACTGGTTAAACATTGATATCAAGTTAAAATCTATATTTGGCCAAGTGAAACATTGATATCAAGTTAAAATCTATATTTGGCCAAGTGAAACATTGATATCAAGTTAAAATCTAATTTTTTGTCTGGTGAAACATTGATATCAATTTGAAATCTATATTTGGCCTGGTGAAACATTGACATTATGTTATCTAATTTGTGCTTGGTGAAACATTGCTTTCAAGTTGAAATTCAATATTTGAACCTCGTGAAACATTGATATCTTTTTGAAATCTAATATCTAAACTGGTGAAACATTGATATCAAGTTAAAATCTATATTTGGCCAAGTGAAACATTGATATCAAGTGGAAATCTAATTTTGTGTCTGGTGAAACATTGATATCAATTTGAAATCTATATTGGGCCTGGTGAAACATTGACATTATCTTATCTAATTTGTGCTTGATGAAACATTGCTTTCAAGTTAAAATTTAACATTTGACCTGGTGAAACATTGATATCTTTTTGAAATCTAATATTTAAACTGATGAGACATTGATATCAAGTTGAAATTCAATATTTGAACTGGTGAAACATTGCTTTCAAGTTGAAATTTAACATTTGACCTGGTGAAACATTGATATCTTTTTGAAATCTAATATTTAAACTGGTGAAACATTGATATCAAGTTGAAATTCAATATTTGACCTGGTGAAACATTGCTATCAAGATAAAATCTATATTTGGTCAAGTGAAACATTGATATCAAGTTAAAATCTATATTTGGTCAAGTGAAACATTGATATCAAGTTAAAATCTAATTTTTTGTCTGGTGAAACATTGATATCAATTTGAAATCTATATTTGGCCTGGTGAAACATTGAAATTATGTTATCTAATTTGTACTTGGTGGAACATTGCTTTCAAGTTGAAATTTAACATTGAACCTTGTGAAACATTGATATCTTTTTGAAATCTAATATCTAAACTGCTGAAACATTGCTTTCAAGTTGAAACTTAATATTTGCCTTGGTGAAACATTGATATCAAGTGGAAATCTAATTTTGTGTCTGGTGAAACATTGATATCAATTTGAAATCTATATTTGGCCTGGTGAAACATTGACATTATGTTATCTAATTTGTGCTTGGTGAAACATTACTTTCAAGTTAAAATTTAATATTTGCCTTGGTGAAACATTGATATCTTTTTGAAATCTAATGTTTAACCTGGTGAAACATTGCTTTCAAGTTGAAACTTAATATTTGACCTGGTGAAACATTGATATCTGTTTGAAATCTAATATTTACCCTGGTGAAATATTGTTATCAAGTTAAAATAAAATATTTGACCAGGTGAAACATTGATATCAATTTGAAATATAACTTGTGCCTGGTCAAACATTGATAACAAGTTGAAATCTAATTTATACGGGTCAAACATCAATTTGAAATCTATATTTGGCCAGGTGAAACATTGATATCAATTTGAAATATAACTTGTGCCTGGTCAAACATTGATAACAAGTTGAAATCTAATTTATACGGGTCAAACATCAATTTAAAATCTATATATGGCCAAGTGAAACATAGATATCAAGTTAAAATTCATATTAGACCTGGTGAAACATTGATATCAAGTTGAAATCTAATAGTTGACCTTGTGAAACATTGATATCAAGTTGAAATCTAATAGTTGACCTGGTGAAACATTGATATCAAGTTAAAATCTAATAATTGACTTGATGAAACATTGATATCAAGTTAAAATTTATATTAGACCTGGTGAAACATTGATATCAAGATAAAATCTAATAATTGACCTGATGAAACATTGATATCAAGTTAAAATTTATATTAGACCTGATGAAACATTGATATCAAGATAAAATCTAATAGTTGAACTGGTGAAATATTGATATCAAGATAAAATCTAATTTTGGGTCGAGTGAAACATTGATAACAATTCAATTTAATATTAGTGTTTATGAAAAGATCGGCCGTGATGCAACTGTTCTATATACAAAAATAGAGTGATAAACTTTGGCAACCTACAATATGTGAAATACTTTAAGATGGCCTATTAAAAATGATTTAAAGCTTTCCAACATGAATTTTAAACGCCATGTTTACTCAAAATCCATAAATATTAACTAGATGTACCAAGATATTCGAGTTAATCCATTTCTAACGTGTTAAGTGTTGATTGGTTAAAATAAATGGAAAAATTATGGATATGAGTAATAAAGTTGAAAGCTGTGACCAAATTCTCTTCAGTAGAAATTGATTTGGGCGGTTAATATTTCAGAGAAATAATAAAAGTTTACTGAAATAGGCTTAGGGACAGTCGATATTTTTACTTATACCACTAAAAATCACGCACATGATTAGAACTAGGTTGAATAAAAACGAAATACTAAATACGTCTAAATTTTCCATTATTATGCCTGTAATGAAATTTTCTATAGTAAGCTAAAGTTAGTGAAAATGTAAATGTTGCATATGCGCTATTTAGGCTAATGTATTTTATTCTATTTTTCCAACGGTGGTGATCTAACCCTATCTTTATTTCATACAATAATGAAGATTTAAAAGAAAAGAACAAAAGCGCCGTTTTTAAGACTATGCCTGTATAAGTTCTTCCATGCTCATTTTTGCAAGGACCATATGGTTATCGGACGGTTTGACATCCTCGCGTTTTACACCACCGCGCGCCGTTTCCTGTGTAAACTTCACGTTGGTTTGTTTACATTTTTCTTTGAAAACCTTCCAGTTTAAATCTGCGTTCTATTTATTTTGAAATTAAAATGAACCTTCCCGATCCAATTTGGAACTCAGAAACTGTTTCAGCCATTTCAGGATCTTATGTGAGTAGAATTTTTCGATAATCAAACAACCGGCTGTTTATTGTGTGGGGATTAAGGGTCGCCGAAATAACCACACTGAGGGTTCTATGGACGGACTAGATGTTTATTATTAACATACAACAAAAACCCTGAAAGTACAAAGATTATGGTTACTAACAGGCAAATAAATATATACATTAAATTGGAATGATCTTAATTCTTATTAAAAGAATAAAAACTAACACCAACTATGCAATAATTCAATACAGCCTAATAGGCCTACTAATAAATATGAAATGTAAAGGCACCATTTTGCATAGTTACAATCTTTAAGGACAATCTTCATAAGTATTTGCTAAATGTAAAACAATATATATTAAAGCTTATACTAATAACTTAACCTACCCAGTACAGGGGTTTTAAACTAACATATTAATGGCAGGGAAAGTACCTAACCTGAGGCCGGTTTCACAAACGAGTTACGACGGGTCGTAAGTTCGCGAGCAATCGTAAGTTGTTCGTAAAACTTTCGATCTATTTCACGAAATAAATTTGGTCGCAAATCAACTGAAAAGACCAACAAAACGGTCGTGTTCGGTGCCAGTGATGATTCAGGTGTTGGTTGCCTTGCGGTTTTATGCCAGTGGAGCCTATTACTTGGTGATTGGAGACGCGATAAATTTGTCCGAAGCGAACGTATGTAGGTGTGTCAGAAGAGTATCTTTGGCCATAGCCAGATTAACACCTCGTGTGATCATCTTTCCGGACAGAACTGCACTCCACGTTGTAAAAAATAGATTTTATGAAATAGCAGGTAGGCCTATATGCAGTTTTAAGTTTTAGCCATTTAATTCTGTCAGTTATCTGAATAAAAAACATTTTCATTATAGATTATTTAAAATATAATTTTTATAGAATAGTTTTGACACTACATGTGTTTTTGAAGAAATATTGAGAGAGTCTCATGTTTTACTTAATTTGGTTATTTGCAGGATTTCCGAATGTTGTTGGTTGTGTTGATGGCTGCCTGATTCCATTAAAGAAACCATACTTGAATACCCAAGACTACATGTGCCGAAAAGGTTTTGCTGCGATCAGAACTCAGGTAGCACTGTTAAATCACTCTTTATATTATGTTAAATAATAGAGGCTTTGATAATAATTTAAAGGACCTGTAAGCAGCATTTAAAACATACTTAATGGAAAATAATTTTGTCTAGCAGCTCTTGTTCGCAGGTAAATTTTTGATTGTTAAAGTTGACGATTTTAAACATTGTAGGTTTGTTGTGGTCCAGGTAACATGATATATCATTCCAGTGTCAAGTGGCCGGGCACAGTTCATGATTCCCGCGTATTCAAAGAAAGCTCTTTGCAGAGAATAATGGAAACAGGTATTATGATTGTTTCAAATAACATATACATGTATACTTAATGAGCTTCTAATATGGAGAGTTTATCAAATTAGTTATCCCTCACAGAATAAATTTCGCATGCCACTCTTTTGGCAGTAGAATATAAAGGGTTAGATATCCGATTCAAACGTAATTAGTAAAATATAATTTCAGGTATCAATGGTGTGTTAGGGGACAGTGCTGATTTCAATCAGGTTTCTTTTTGTCGCCGACTTAAAATATTCTATATGGGCTTCGCCTAAAGCCCTCTTAGAGATTGGTGATGTTTTTTTAGTGGGTTCTGGAAAATAAAAATGTGAAACAGAAAATGGGATATCGTCCTCTAAATATTTGCTTTATCGGTTGGCATCAAAGTTAAATTCTTAGCGTTGGTTTGTGCACTATTGAAAACTTAAACAGTCGAAGCGAATTTGATCAAATCATGCCCGTTTGAAAAAAACTCATGCACAATATTATTACAAGCGAAGCAAAGTAGGAATTTTTCATATGGTGTTACACTGTTTATTTACATGTATATTACAAACCTTGGCATGTAGACGAACTAGCATTATTATTTGAATCCTTTTCTTTTATTAAGTTTTTGATCAGCACATCTCCTGAAAAAGAAATATTCATTATATGTAATTATAAATAATGTTACAGCAAGTTTTCAAACAACATTTGATTTCAAATTTATTGCCAAAAAATTTGAACATGAAATTCGAAATGAATTTTGTTTAGACAAAATTGGAGGAAGAAGATTCTCCGAAGGTACTTCAGCTGACAGAGAAATCCAAAGAACTTTGAACAGTTTCCAACTGTCTAGACGCGCACAGCTTGTAACAGTCAGGGCCTTGATTTTTTGTCCACCCTAACGCTTCTCCTTGCCAGCCCATTTTACCGGCATCAATGACAGGAAGAATATGATATATTATCACCTCTGTTGCATTTAGGTATCACCAAGCAACTATTCTGACTCAAGGATGACAGATCTGAAAGCATATCGAAAACTGACATAAATTCACTTGCTTTCTACAGCCCAAAAATCTCATTTGATGCATCTAAATTAAATCGTAGTGAGTTGCGATGTTAAAATTGAATGACCGACATATTATCGACTGATTGTATATTTGGCATATAGTTGACATTATCTTTTATAGGCAGATTCAATGATCAGACTGAAAATCGTAGATTATGTCATCATTAGTCAGAATTTACTTGATTTTTAATAAACATATAACAATCAACGAGGGGCGCTGAACATTTGACGATGTCGAATTAGCACATTGCTATACGTTTCATAAAACTAACCCTACCTTCTTTATACAGAAATGTTGCGGAATAGTTTGCAGCCTGGGCGTCTCCTGAAAGTAGTAATAATAAAGATTTTTAAAGCACGGAGTATGTTATACACCCTCTAAGGGATGGAAATAAGAACAATATTGGCTGAAAATTTACTTTTGATAAAGTATTATAGAAAAGGATTTAAAGAATTTAAATGCTATTTTACCTAGAGTTTCGATTACATCTTCAAAGGAAGACGCAATTAATGGAGAATTATTTAAGTTGCTAGCAGTAGGTGGAATGTATGCCTGAAATTAAACAAGAATGAAAACTATTACTCATAGTGATAATTACAGTAATATACTTCAGGATTATGAAGTGATTGTAGAAAATAATAAATTTGACAAGACAATGTCCTTGAAATTTTAATTTAAGTGTATTTCTTGGACACAGTCTTTTTTATCGCAGAAGCGCGGTAATGAAATGAACACCAGAAAACAGTTAGGTACATACCGTTTTTTTGTCCAACTTTCATATCCGGCGGATATGCCAGTTACCAAGTCACTTTTTTAACTTGTCAAAGCTTCTATTATAAACTGCTCTCCAGGCGTAAATTCCTCCCTCCTGCCACCGCCTGTCATCCTGTTGTTTCTGTCGTTTTTTTCCAACGCTAAAAAAAGAAGAAGATTGAAAGCTTTATGGTATGATCACATTCTCATCACTTTGGGCTATAACTTCTAAAAGACGGATTACTCTTGTATTCTGTCAGTTCCGATAATGATTAGATCTACAATAATATGATAATAAACAATAATAATGAAAAAAAAAACATTGTTATAAGGCTAATAATTAGTATTAGACAAAGCGCCAAAAACGTTTATATTTTTTCAGCAAAACAATCTTCCTTGATCTAACTTCTTTTTTAGAATTGATCAAAAATGGAAAATGAAAAAAGAAATGACACCATCTTTACTTGACTTGACAGATATCGCGATATGATCAAATGATTGCACACTTACCTGTTGACAGAATCACAAATCTTTTCCCATATGTTGCTTTTAGACAACTGACGTAACTGACGGCGAAAAATAAGCTTCAAGAACATTTCTATTAGCGATGTTTTTTTAACTTTGACGAAATTCGGTGTTGAATCCTTATGCACGAAAATAGGTTACATCTTACAGGTACATCTTAGAATGGGTTACAATGGTTTCTCCCTTTACAATGCACAATTACAATTAACTACTGAAACTTGGCTTATACGGGTACAGTCGTGCGAACCGAATTTCATGCATCTCAGGAAATGTAAATAATTTACTTGTGTGACATCTCATGACCTCTGCATTTGCATGTTTTGATAAACATTGGTTATCTCTACTACGTCAACCTGCAGAATTTTGCCTATCATTGCAAAGCAATGTCTAATTTATAATCTATTTCTAACATATATATATAATGGCAGATTACCAAAGATCACAAATTTTTATTGGCCAAATTTCCTTATAATTCCAAGCTGTAATTGGAATTCCAAGTGCTTCCAAGTACTTGAATATATTCCAGAAACAGAAACATTCTGTGGTACACAATGTAGGCCACATTCTTAGGTTGTTTCAATGACTTTTTACTATAAATCACTCTTACATTTTACTTATCTTATTTTGTCAGTCACTATTTTTCTTTTTAAATCATAGTTCTTTGAAGGAATAGAGTTATAATGACTTGATATTAATATATATATATATATATATATATATATAATACTAAAAAATGCTATTTATATCACTGAGTACAACATGTTTTTCTTGACTAATTTAGAGAACAAACATTGTACAGTAAATAAATGGCGCATTCTGCATTCATTGTCGAGTTGGTTACTCATGAAATATGGGTCAAAGTGAGAGATTCATAAAGAAAATCGAAATAAACCACTTTTTATTATTTTTCAGAATATCTGAAGAAACAGAATTTTCCATTTTTATACGCCCACACGTAAGATGGGCGTATATTGTAATCACCCCGTCGGTCAGTCCGTCCGTTCACATTTGGCTCGTGCTCACTCTACAGGCTACAATTTTTTACAGATTCTTTTGATTTTTATTTTGTATGTCAATGTCATTATGAAGATGATCCCTATTGATTTTCGTGATGATCGGATAATTTTTCACCAAAATATCGTGTCTGACTTGACGTTTTACTCTATTAGCTATATTGTGCAACTTGTGCTCACTCTACAGGCTACAATTTTTTACAGATTTTTTGATTTTTATTTTGTATGTCTATGTCGTTATGAAGATGATCCCTATTGATTTTCATGATGATCTATCGATTTTCATGATGATCGGATAATTTTTCACCGAAATATCGTGTCTGACCTGACGTTTTACTCTATTAGCTATATTGTGCAACTCATGCTCACTCTACAGGCTACAATTCTTTACAGATTCTTTTGATTTTTATTTTGTATGTCAATGTCATTATGAAGATGATCCCTATTGATTTTCGCAATGATCGGATAATATTTCACCGAAATATCGTGTCTGACTTGACGTTTCACTCTATTAGCTATATTGTGCAACCCTGTAGTCACTAAAGACTGTTTAATCATTTCTGACAGCTGCCAGTGGGCGTATGTTACCTTGCCTGGCAAGCTATCTTTAATTTTGACGAAATTGGGTGTTGAATCCTTATATGCACGAATATTGGTTACATTACTGTACTCTTATTGCCCAAATTTGAAAATATAAAGAGGTAGAATGCAAGAAAAATGAAGGCCAGGAGTTTTGGCTGATGACCAAAGGAGAAAGAAGAGGTAGAAAGGATCCTTAACTGTGAACCTAAGTTGTTATCCTTGTAAAATATAGTTGTTTCCTTCTTTTCCGTTAACAATAGAAAATTTCACTCTGAATAATTGTGCAATGACAAACAAAATCAATTTTGACCTCTTCAATTGCAAGTCTTAGTGGCTTACATTGGTTTACATCCTTTACAAGTTCCTCCCCTAGTGGTTTCCTCCCTTTTCAATTTTTTAACTGGTGGTTTCTAAGCTTATATATGTTAAGGGTGTGTCAAGAATAGTTTGATATTATTTTTATTTTCACAATAACAAAACAGTATTATTCTTACAAGTAATGTTGTCTTTCAACATATAACTTCAGTATTTTCTCAATTATTCTATCATAGTGGATTTATCTGTATCAACCTAATCTCCTACTGTTCTCAGTTGTTCTACATAAAAGATTAAAATTTTTGCAAGCAGCTGTTTTATTTCATTATCTATGTTGAAAGAAATGATTTAAAAAAAAACAGAGTAACACAAAACAGAAAAGTAATAATTGTCATAAACCATAACAATCAATTATAATGATGATTGGGCAACTAATAAGGTTGATAACAATGTGCATGAAATGATTTATTTGATTAATAAAGGTTTATAAATCTAGATAACTTCCTCCACATTGTCATCTGTTTTCCACCTTGACATGAGAACAAAACAAATACGAATCTGTTTTGTTAATTCCCATTTTTATGATGAATAGACCATAATTGAATGCATGGCTTTAAAAGTGTCTTTCGACCATTTGCTGCACCTCCATGATGCTGTAGTTTCAGATTATTTCTGCTTAATAACTATTTATGCACATATCATAAACCTTGTTTATGACACCATTTTTCACATTCATCATAAGTAATGGCATAATGCTTTGGTCTAAAAAGACTTTTGCAATTTGAACATAAGTCAGCCATGTAAAAAGAAACACATTTTCCTTTCAGGGAATTTTCTAGGTTTAAGCTTCATATAGTATTTTTTATAAAATTTGATCATTGGTTACAAACTGGTATGAACAAAGGTTCAAAAATTGACACAAATATACACAGTTTAAGTACTTAGACCAACTCAGTTTGGTCATGATCTGTAAAATCATGATCTGTACTTTTATAACCAGACTAGATTCTGGAAATTATCTTTTGATTACCTTAGCATGTTATGCGCCCTGATTCTTATAGATATGGAAAAGCTTATGGAAAATGAAAACCATGGTTAGTAGAGCTAGTTATAAGATATTGTTTTTGTTTGGACAGTAGACTAGCAGGTTCAAGTCTAATTAGTTAAAATTGTTATATTTTCAGCCTTTGGAAAATAATGATTTGAGAGTTGACAATTTAATCAAATGGTTAGGAATTCCTCCATCATACACAACCCTAAGATTAAACCTAAGAGTAGACACAGCTGACAACATTCTTTCTCAAGTTCAACAAACTTTAAATATTGTAAGTTTATCACATTCTTATTGCAATGTATTTGATTTAAAATGTCAGAATCAAAAGGTCCCAAGAAATATTCTGTATTTAATCAAAAAAATAATACCATATCCTGGAACCTTAGTGCTGGGTCACCAAGCACAAGGGGTATATATATATATATATCAGTACCTTTTTTAACGCATGGGCTAAACCTTCCGTACCTGAGGTAGATGCTTTTCACATAGGCTACCAGGGATGGTCAAAATGTGTGTCATGTTCACCATTCCTTACTGATTGGTATTACTGTGACCATAATGCCTTGTGCCCATATTACTGTAACCGGAATACCTCATGCCTGTATTACTGTGACCATAATACCTTGTGCCTGTATTACTGTTAGCATAGTACCTTGTGCCTGTATTACTGTGACCAAAATTCCTTGTACTTGTATTACTGTGACCATAATACCTTGTGCCTGTATTACTGTGACCATAATATCTTGTGCTTGTATTGCTGTGCCCAAAATATCTTGTGCCTGTATTACTGTGACCAAAATATCTTGTACCTGTATTACTGTGACCATAATATCTTGTGCCTGTATTACTGTTACCATAAGATCATATGCCTGTATTACTGTGACCATAATACCTTGTGCCTGTATTACTGTGACCATAATGCCATGTGCCTGTATTACTGTGATCATAATACCTTGTGCTTGTATTACTGTGACCAAAATATCTTGTGCTTGTATTGCTGTGCCCAAAATATCTTGTGTCTGTATTACTGTGATCATAATATCTTGTGCCTTATTACTGTGACCATAATATCTTGTGCTTGTATTGCTGTGCCCAAAATATCTTGTGTCTGTATTACTGTGACCATAATATCTTGTGTCCGTATTACTGTGACAGTAATATCTTGTGTCTGTATTACTGTGACAGTAATATCTTGTGCCTGTATTACTGTGATCATATTATCTTGTGCCTTATTACTGTGACCATATTTCCCTTGCATCCACCCTATTATACAACTGATAATGGAGGTTTATCCAGGTAACCTCGACAGTTAACTTAATTTATTTGATACCACTTTACAGCAATGTAGAAAGAAAAATATAGAAGAGTTTAAGATGTGGCTACATCCAGCTGTAAAAGATTGCTTAGTAATAGAAAACAGAAGACCTAACAATGATGTTATCCCTGTAAGTTGAATTTCTTTTTTTTTGTAAAGTTGGATTATTTTACAAAGTAAGTTCAATTAGCAGTCAAACTATTAGCGTTAACTGTTGATAGCTGAATAATCAAAGTATATTTTAAATTCTTGAGATAACAGAGGGTTATACAATTATAATACCAAAAATATAATTTTGATTTTTAGGCAGAAAAAGAGGTGATTGTTGACCTATTATGTGGTACTGCTGTACTCCGAGGGGCAGACATTTTTTCTCAGGGAATCATGGGGGCACCCTCAAGTAAGTTTAACTTATATATTGTGTTACAACAATTTGTACAATGATTTCCTAAACTTCAGTAACAGACACACTTGAAATAACACTTGAAATTCTAATACTAAGTAACCAACTGTCTATATGTCAGTCCAGATAGAGTTTTCATTGATTGAGGAGAAGACCAGGTACCTTGATGCAGAATGACAAGATCTTGAACATGTTTGAATGTTAGTAACTTGTCTTTGTCGTTGTAGATATGTTGAAAGGGGATAAAGTAGCAGTGTATTGTGATATGGAAGGAAAATGTCGGAGAGGAGCTGTAGCTAAGTATGAACACACTAAAGTCTTCCTAGGAAATGGTATAGCACAAATTGGTAGAGATGATTATTTTTGTTCACAAGATAAAGTGAGGTAATTTTAACAAAGTTATTCCCGTTAACTGCTAACAAGGTTCAATTTAATAAGTACTGCATCACAGTTTGCCAGTTGAAGTGACCTCTTCTGCATTACAATGATTTCCCATGATTAGAAAAATAACATTTATCTGCCAATCAAATCAAATCTATATTTTTCGTGAGACTTTTCTGGCAGCTGTAGAATTTTCAGTATACAAATGGAACATTTTAAATTTATACCAAATTTTTATGAAATGAGGTGTGAGAATTTGCTAACTAGAATGTCATGATTAATCATACACACATCAAGTTGACTTTTTCTAATCTAAAAAGGGTAGGTTAAACATCTACAGTTTTTCAACACTGCTTATGTTGGAGGTTAAAATAACTTAGTAACTAACTTTTTATTTTACTCTGGAAACAATTAGGTCTAATACATATCAGAGTGGCATGGTCCCCATTCAGCCCACTGGGACAGTAATGATGTGAATACAATAAAAAGGGTTAGAGTAATCATCAATAATGTTGTAGACTTCAGTAACTCCTATTGTATACCTTCAAATAGTGTAAAACATGCATTAGCAACAAATAAGATAGTTAAAATTAGGCAAGGTGCCTCCCACTTGTTTATACATCAACATTGATGGAAGCTTTCAATGTATTTTTTTGAATTCATTGAAAGTGACAATAGAATCTAAAAAGGTCTGATAATATTAAATGGAATTGGTATGCCCAATAAATGACAAAATAAATGAAATGTTACATTTTTTAATGATAAGAAAAAAAAAAGAATGCTGTTATATAAATGAAGGTATTAAATACTAATAAATAACCGAAAACATTAAATTATAAGTTAAGTTAAAATTGATATGATATGATCATTAAATACAAGTGACAATATTGATTATAAGATATTAAACTACCATTGACAGACAGTCACCTTGAATAAAAACATGTAAATCATAACACAGGTTGTATTGATCATAACGTCAAACAACCTTTTATACCAGCAAATTACTTTGATTACTTGCCTCTTTACACAGTTATTTTTATATGCCCACTTTATAATGTAGTCGTATATTGTTGTTGCCCCTATCCGTCTGTCCGTCCACAATTGGCTTGTGAACGCAATAAAGACAACAGTTTTTATCTGATTTGAATGAAATTTGGTCTGATCATTTATATTCATGAGATCTTGGACAAGTTCGAACTTGACGGTCTTTCTTTGAACGTTTTTTTAGTTATTGCCCTTGACTTATGAAAAACATGTCAAAATTTGGTTGTGAACACAATAGAGACTACAGTTTTCATCCAATTTAAGTGAAATTTGGTGTGAATATTTATAATGATGAGATCTTGGATAACTTCGAATTAGATGGTCTTTCGATGAACGGTTTTTGAGTTATTGCCCTTGACTTATGAAAAATGTGTCAAAATTTGTTTGTGAACACAATAGAGACTACAGTTTTCATCAAATTTAAATGAAATTTGTTGTGAATATTTATAATGATGAGATCTTGGACAGGTCTGATGTTGGCTATCTTTTGATGAACGGTTTTTGAGTTATTGCCCTTGATTTATGAAAAACGTGTCAAAATTTGTTCGTGAACACAATAGAGAGTACAGTTTTCATCCAATCTCAATGAAATTTGGTATGATCATTTATAATGAAGAAATCTTAGTAGTCAAGATTGAATTTGACAATTTTTGATATACTGAAAATATATCAGGAAAGTGGGCGTATCTTGCTAGGCAACCACTTGTTTAAAAATATAACTTATTAGAAGGAATACAAAAATCATTACAATATCATATACCAAGGTCAGACTGATTTTGCTTAAATAGCTTAATTGAGGGGTCCATACACTCTTTTTCAAATTCTTATGAAGAGATGTGAACATTTTTTACTCATTAAGTGAATTTTCAATGAATTATTTTTGACTTGAAATCTTTTTTTTTTAAAGAAATATTTGTTAGTGTTCACAACTAGGCATCAAACTTTAGCTCAGGGTACTAAGTTCAGTGTGCTACACATCAATTTATATAGTTGTAAGGTCAGAGCAATTTCGAATTTCGAATAACTGACATTACAATTGTTGACAATGCATACAATATTCAGGCACAGGAGAAGCCAAAGAAGATAGAAATAGAAAGTAGTATTTCTTGTTTTAGGTACATTTTGACCTGTCAATTTAACTGTGAATGTTTAAGAGGTGGGAAGGCTTCATATCAATTAGTCTGTACAGAGATATTTAAATTTAATTTAAAAAGTGTTAAAAATGGGTAAATGGACTTGATCATTACCAAGTTGAACAAATTTCCACTGTAAGGGAAAAATATTGATAAAATAATACAGCTGTTGTATTCTGGCCAATTTCATATTCTTATTTATTTAAATATATTTTCCAGTATTGAAGTTTAATACTTATATTATTGATTATCTCATTTCTTTTACTTTGACTTGCTACCCTGTTAGGCAGACATATTGGGTAGCTGAAAACAAGCTATGGTTTTGTACAAACAGAGTTCATATTGCAACAAATTGACCATAAGTAAAATTAAATCACAATACCTAAAATCTATCAGTACATATGTACTCCAAAACATAATAGTTGAAATGATATAAAACAGAATTCATTTGCATTTCATTTGTTGTATGCCCTCAAAAGTCGATTTTTCTGATTTTCATTATGTAAGAGGTAAATGAAAAGTGTGGATGGAAAGTTGAAATTTAGAATAAAAATATATAGCTGTTGGATAATAATTTGGTTATATTTCTATATTTTTTAGTGGTATTGGTATATTAATGACAGAAACAATAATAGAAGCGCCATGTTTAGATATTTTACCAGAATTAGTATTTGCTCAGAATCTACCATCTATAGTGTGTAGTCATGTCTTAGATCCTCAACCAACAGATCTGATATTAGATATGTGTGCTGCACCCGGTTAGTTCTTCTGAACACTTTTACTAATTTCAATTCTCATTTAAGGTTTGGTTATATCTATAACTAACAGATTTTGGTTTTCAAAACTTCTGTAATTTCTTTCCTTATTCTTGATATTAGAATTTATAACTTTTTTTGCAATCAAATCCAATGAAACTATTTCTGAAACAATGTTTTTACTGTTTTGGTGAATTCCATTCAGGGAAAAGTTTTCAGCGATATAGGAAAAAAATATAATGGTTATAGAGGTTATAGGGACTCAGTTGTCAAATTTGACATTTTTTTTTTTATTTACATCTGTTCTATTTGTAGGAGGAAAAACAGTTCACATAGCATCATTAATGCAAGGAAAGGTGAAAATCATAATGAAATTATTACAATTATTGGGAAGTGGGAAGGCAATTATCTAATTTAATTAAAAAAAATCGTAAAATAGATAAACTTAAACAAAATTCCAAAAATAAAATGAAGATTCTGAAAGATAAACTATGAATAGGGAAAATAATTTATAATTCAGAAAAATAAATGATAAAATGTTAAATCATATCAGAATTCCGCAGTTACTGGTATTATTGATGTTATTATGGAAATTGTCAGTTTTGTTTACCTGAATAATTAATGTATATCAATTAATTTTATTATGTTTATATGTTGTACTAAAAGCCATACACTTCTTTTACTTCTAATTTATAGGGTAGAGTTATTGCCCTTGATAAGGCAAAAGGCAAAATAGAGAAAATTAAGAAGAATGTAAATCTATGGGGTTTAGATGACACTGTCTCTTGTTTTGATTTTGATGCTCGCAATGCTATGACAGACAAGGAATTAGTCAAAAAAGGTATGCTTTTGTACAGAGATTTCATTTGGATGGAATTTGGTATATGTATATAGGTGATAATTTCTCAGTTTGCCGTCAGTATGATCCAACAAAATAAACCACTTTTGTCATTGGCAAATATTATCTTGTTTAGCAAGTTATACTATTTGGTATATATGTGAACAGAAAAAAGTTAAAGCTATGTTTTATGGTTATTGACAAAAGATACTTTAGCATCTTATTGGAGTTACTTACCTTGTCCCTAAATTTCTCAATCTGCTTCCTTGATGGAGGGCAATAAATATATTATCAATATGGAAACTTACTGACACCTTCAGCCTCTGATAGCTATTTTGACAGTTGCCGGCTTGTGTAAGGTCAGAAAAAAGAATGGGGATTTTCCAGCATTTCGATTTACTGGGTGCTGTAAAAGTGATGAGTTCACATTGGTGTGTTGAACAGGAGCTCTCCAATAGATAAAGTATCAAGAAGATCGAATAGGGTGAACAGATTTGTTAGTAGCCTATGTTTGATGACTATGTGTTCAGTGTGTAATTTTGTAAACCATTAAAGCTATGCTAAAACATTAAAACATTACACTTTTATACAATAAGGTGTCACAGATGAGCCACCATTTCCACCAGAAGCATTTGATAGAATTCTATTAGATGGTCCTTGTAGTGCACTTGGACAACGACCAACTTTGAAAAATAACATGATACCTGGTGTTTTAAAGTCTTTTCCCAAATATCAAAAACAGCTTCTAAAAACTGTAAGTTTAAACTTTTATCTATTTGTATGAAATAGAATAGTTTTTTTTTTCAAGATTTCTATAAGTATTAGATAAGCCCTTTAGTTTGCTTTTATGAACTCTGAAGGGTCTGAGAAATATTACGATTTGTGTCAAATGCATTATGTTATATTTGTTCATAAAAAAATGAAATATGATCTAAATACATGTTTATACTATTGAAACAGAAAAGTTAATTGAATTTTGATACTATTATATTTATATGTATCCATAATTCTTTTTCACACATGCATTCCGTTTGTCTGCAGTCCATGTTGTTGTTGTAAATATTGATATATCTCGGGTGGTCAATTGGATACCTTGTAGACTTCCTATTTCTCTTAATACCTCTCCCTGGACTTTTCTCTTATTACTTGTCTCTGGTGATATTCACCCAAATCCTGGGCCAGGATTAAGTGTACTTCTTCAAATTGTTGGCAGCCTACCAGGTAAGAAATCTTATATCATTGCTGAACTATCAGACCATAATATTCTCATCTATTCTGACATGGTTAAATGAATCACATCAAGTACAAGATACTCATTCAATTTCAAATCACCGGCACTCTATAATCGCTCATCTGACATGAGAGGTGATCTGGCAATCTAAAATAATATCTTTTCTAAAAAATGATCTTCATCTTCCTCATCTAGTAGCAGTCTGGATTGAACACTTTAAAAAACACTTATTGCTAGGATCTGTCTGTGTTCGCCTTAGATCTCCTGATATCTATAGGGACTAATCAGCAATTCATATCTAAGACAAAAGACAGTCGTAAAACTCTGATCATTCTCGGTGACTTGATGAATGAAAATAAGCTTTCTGATAGATCTAATAAAATAGCTCTTATTATTCAGCACTTTGAATTCACACAAACTGTAGATGAACCAACACTACATACAGAGCACTCAGCAACTCTTATAGACATTGCATTGGTAACTGACACTGATCTAGTACATGAAGCAGGTATAAGTGATCGCTGTCAAATAGAACTTGTCTTGAATCTTCCTCGAAAATACAATGAAAGTTTCAAGCTTACCATATGGAATAAAAGTGAACTTGATGTAGATGCAATCAATAACTTCTTGTCTGAAACTGACTGGGGCAAAGCCAAGAAGATCCAAATATACTGGTCATGTGTTTCACTGATAGGCTCCTTAAAGCAGTTAATCTATTTGTTCCCCATAAAATATAGTAATCTGTGAGTGTGATACTGTTAGGATGAATGGCTACATCAAGCAAATAATTCTCCAAAGAAACAGACTACACAGTAAGGGAAAGAACACAGGTTTACAAAATTACGGGCAAAAATTCTGCTTTGCTATGAACTTTGTTGTCTCTGATTTCCAAGGGTCAAAAAAGATTATTTTTACAATCTAGAAGGTAAGATCTGTCAAAGCCAGTTTTCAATGTAGTTTCAAAAATGACAGATCATCAAAACAGTTTCCACCCTTCTTGATTCACAACTACATTGTTCATGAGGATGCTGAAAAAGCTGAAATTCTAAACCAATTCTTCATTAATCAATCAACTTCATCAAATCCTGCTAAACCTATACCAAACCCTACCCCAATCTGATATAACTTTTCTACTACCAGTATATACTCCCCATGATGTCAAAGGCATGCTGAGTTCAAGCAAAACAAATAAGGCCTGTGGACATGATAACATAACATATAAAGTTCTACAATATTGCAGTCCATCTCAAATTCCTTTGAGTACCCTTTTCAATTTTTTGCAGGACCAATGCTGTTTTCCCACAATATGGAAGCAAGCGAACATCATTCCGGTATATAAGAAAGGTGATGCTAACATCTGCTCAAATAATCGTCCTATTTTTCTCCTCAACTTTAAATGTATTTATGGATATTTGAAAAATTTTCTGCGATTACATGAAATACTGTCTGCTTGTCAATGAGAGTTTAGAGAAAATGACTTGTCAATGTATAGCGATATATGTAGAAGCATTGATGAAGGTTTTGAAACTAAAGATGTATTGTTTTTTTAATAAACAAAGCTTTTAAGCGTGTTTATCATACAGGTCTCATTTATAAGCTCCAGTCAATCGGCATTAGAGGGAAAATACTGTCACTCAAGAATTATCTTTCAGAAAGGAGACAATCTGTGGTTATAACTCAAAATGGAGTTCTACAAGTGCTAGGGCCACTTTTATTCTTAATACAGTGGAGCCTCGTTTATCCGCACATTCCCGTTCTCGATAAAATCGTGCGGTTTAACTGATAAACGCGGCTCCACTGTATATACAACCGAATGTCAAACTCTATTAAACAATGACTTCAGAGCTATCAGCAATTTGGCACCGTCTTGGAATGTTGTTTTCTGCCCAGAAAAAACAGTCAATACCTTCAGTAGGAAACTCCTTCTAAATTTTCACTCTCTTTTCACAATAACATATTATTAGCAGATTCTGGGCATCACAAGCATCTTGGCATTACACTCAATAAGATTGGTAGATGTCACTCTCAATCGTCAAATCAGCAAGTTGGTAAATTGATTTCATTCTATGAAATATAACATTTCCAGAAAATCTTTTGAATATATCTAAAAAAATCATATTCTGCCTCCCTTTGACTATGGTGATGTATAAGTATATGATAATTGTACAGAAACAGACTCAATTTGATTAGAAAATCTTCTCCTCAATTGCCATAGATCAATAACTGGTTTAGTCCCTGGTACATCTCATTCTTTATATACTTACCCTAGTTTTTTGAATTGAAGAACCCGTATACTTACCCTAGTTATTGATTGTGTTTACCTACCTTAATTGTGAATCTTATACACTCACCCTAGTTGTTTGAATTGAAGAACCCGTATACTTACCCTAGTTATTGATCGTGTTTACCTACCTTAGTTGTGAATCTTATATACTTACCCTAGTTGTTTGAATTGAAGAACCCGTATACTTACCCTAGTTATTGATCGTGTTTACCTACCTTAGTTGTGAATCTTATATACTTACCCTAGTTGTTTGAATTGTTGATCTCGTATACTTACCCTAGTTATTGATCGTGTTTACCTACCTTAGTTGTGAATCTTATATACTTACCCTAGTTGTTTGAATTGTTGATCTCATATACTTACCCTAGTTATTGATTGTGTTTACCTACCTTAGTTGTGAATCTTATATACTTACCCTAGTTGTTTGAATTGTTGATCTTGTATACTTAACCTAGTTATTGATTGTGTTTACCTACCTTAGTTGTGAATCTTATATACTTACCCTAGTTGTTTGAATTGTTGATCTCGTTTACTTAACCTAGTTATTGATCGTGTTTACCTACCTTAGTTGTGAATCTTATATACTTACCCTAGTTGTTTGAATTGTTGATCTTGTATACTTACCCTAGTTATTGATCGTGTTTACCTACCTTAGTTGTGAATCTTATATACTTACCCTAGTTGTTTGAATTGTTGATCTTGTATACTTAACCTAGATATTGATCGTGTTTACCTACCTTAGTTGTGAATCTTATATACTTACCCTAGTTGTTTGAATTGTTGATCTCGTATACTTACCCTAGTTATTGATCGTGTTTACCTACCTGATTTTAATGGATTTGGTTTGATCATCTATTATAATAAAACCCTGGTCAAATTTACCCTGGTCAAATTTAAATTTGATGATTTTTCAATGGATAGAAATTTGAGTTATTGCCCTTGACCTAGTCAAAACTCATCAGAATTTGTTGGCTTGTTAACGCGATAGAGGTGACAGTTAATGTCTGAATTTTATGAATCCGTGCGTTCACCACTCATAGCACTCATAGTTATTCCTTTAACAGTGGTCCATTTACTACGGCATTCCGGGCGCGACAATCTTTAAAAAAACTTCCAAGTTAATTTGTTGATTTCTTCATTGCCGGTGAACCGCTTCACAGGTTTCCGATCGGGAGAAACATTGCTTTCAAAATCCTCCATAATATCTGCTTTACGCTTCAGAATTCCCTGAATTCCTGTGATGTTTAATCAAGGGACTTAATAAGTGTCATGGTCGCTAAATTGACTCCATATGATTACACGGGAGTGTAAATACAAGATTGCTGGTCGCGTAATGAAGGAGTCCCTTATCAGTCGTTAATTACATTGAAAACTCGTAGGGGGGATTTTATTGTGGTCGCCTATTGAAGGTGATTGCTTAATAAAGGTGGTCGCGTGAGCAGGATATACTGTACATAATTAATTATGGTAAACTACTATCTCGTTAAATTATATATATTAGTATGTTAAGTTATTTATTCATTCATGTATTTATCTATATTTTCTGTATTTTCTGTATTTTGGTATACTGTATTTGGTGACAGAATAGCATAAGTCTCAAGTCTCAGCTTATTTCCAAAATCTTATTTATACTCTGTAAAAATTATGTATAACATATAATCTTCTAGGAAGACAATAATAGTTGGTAGGTTGAGGCTGCATCAAACTGCACAAAACTGATACGGTATTCATACAGTAACCTGTCAGGCAATAATATACTTCATAATTTTTTAAATGAGCACTTATACCCCATCATTGCTGCAAAAAGTGTTGTTCCATAGTTTTCCCCAACTTCTGGGTAATAGTATATGTTATATTTGTTGCAGGCTATAGAGCTATTAAAACCTAATGGTATATTAGTTTACAGTACTTGTACTGTAACTGTAGAAGAAAATGAACATCAAGTAGAATGGGTTTTAGAAAATTTTCCTAATATGATACTTTCACCTCAAGTAAGAGTTATTACTTATTCAAATTCAATTAAACCTTGATATCAAAGGTACTATTACAAATATAACACTCTCAGGTAGATTTAGAGAAGTGTATTGCAGCATTGTCTTAGTGAGGTATATTCTTCTTGTTAAGAGATTCTTAATAAAACTCAGTGCCTTTTTATATGCCCACATCTCTCTATGTGGACGTATATTGTTGGCACCCCTGTCCGTCCGTTGGCCGTCAGTCCGTCAACATTTGCTTGTAAACGCTCTAAAAACTAGATTTTTTAATGGAATCAAATGAAATTTGGTATGTGTATACATATTTATAAAACGAAGATCAAGTTCTAATTTGAGCTAATTTCGACCGTTAGAAGCAGAGTTATTGCCCTTGCCCAAAAATCTTGAAAATGCTATTACTCTCTTAGTTTTCAACGGATTTGATGAAACTTAAAATGGATGTTATTGGACCAAAATCGAAAGGTTTAAGAAAGTTTAGTTTACTTCTGCTTAAATTTAGGCCTCTTACGTCAGTTTTGAGGAGTTGTCGCCCTTTAACCTCTATACAGTAATTGCTTCTATCAACATCAATTGCCCGTAAACACTCTAAAAATTAGAGTGTTTGAAGGAATCAAATGAAATTCGGTATGTGTATACATATTCATGAAACGTCGGTCGGTCCGTCCGTCAGCATTTGCTTGTAAACGCTCTAAATGGAATCAAATGAAATTTGGTATGTGTATACATATTCATAAAAGGAATATCGCGCTTCGAATTTGAGCTATTTTCGACCGTTAGAAGCAAAGTTATTGCCCTTGCCCCAAAATCTTGAATATTTACCATCCGCATGCCTTTATAGTGTGAATTGCAAAAATTCCCCAAACAAGACCAGTTTATCAAATACATGCATTATGGATGATCTTCTTTTTTCAGAGTGTCCACCTTGGTTGCCATGGTACAGGAAGTAATCTATCTGAAGAAGAGTTGAAAATGGTACAAAGATTTGATATCAGTGGTTTAGATGAAAATAACTTAAACTGTGATAATGACACTATAGGATTTTTTATTGCCAAATTCATAAAGACATAATCATAAAAATAATTTTAAATATATTGGACAAGATTAGCATCATGTACCAGAGCACAAGGTTGTTTTGTTGTATCTTGTTCAGAAATAAGCACCTGAATATGATATGTCTGTCTTACACAGTCAGAAAAACAACTGGAAATATATTTGAAATATGTGTTGGTTTTTAAGTTTTATGTGCCTTCCAACATGTCCAGATAGTCAATGTAGATATTCCCTGAAAATTTCAGCTTTGTAGCTTTTCAAGATAGAAATTTATATGGATATTGACACTTTTTGTGCAGTAGATAAATTTCAAGTTTTATGTGTTTATCCATGTCCCTGGGGTCTAATTAGTAGCAAAATTGGCTTATTTAGTTTATTTAGTACTGTATACGTACCACAAACAGCGTATTCCAGGGCAATTCTGGGCGAAAAATGGATCACACTAGACATTGCCTGCTGCATTGATCCCCTAGACACCCAAACAGGGCCCCAAAATTTGCGCTTGATAAAACATAATTGGTACCACTTGAATCAAAGTTTATTTTCTATAGTCAATGCCAGACAAATTACCTGCTGCTTTCTGCTCACCAGACACGCCCAAAAAATTGACCCTCTCAGTGCGACAGTACAATTGAACCGTTTAAAACATGAAAAGTACTGAAATGAAATACTTTTGGATGAAACTTAACTTTATGTATGTTGAGGGACACTCAAAAAGGGCCTAATATATGGGCTAGATCAAATTATTGGTACCACTTGAAACCAATTTATTTTGTGACACATGTCAAATAGAACAGAATGGTTAATTATGGACAAAGCTCGCATATTTTTCCTGCCAGTGATGTTCATCTTAACCAAAACTCTACTGGAAGTCATATTCTCGTGACAAAAACGTTCGTCTGTACTTAAGAATATATAAAAAAAATGGACACGTTTATACAAAGCCAAGGCCAATAACACTGAAACCGTTCATCCGAATGTTACCGGACTTGACTGAAATCTCATCAATATATACATGTATACCAAGTTTCATCAAGATCAGATAAAACTAGTCTCTGTCGTGCCTTCAAGCCAAATTTGACGCATATTTATTAAAACTCCGATGCCGTTCATTTGATTATTACCAAATTAGAACTCGAGATATAATCAATATATACATGCATACCTAGTTTAATCAAGATTGGATAAAAAATGGTGGTCTTTATTTTCCCTACAAGAAATGTGAACTGACGGACGGACGGAAAGGGGCGACGGCAATATACGTTCACATTTCCATGCTGGAAGCATTCTGCTAAAGGCAAGACAGTAAATGCATAAAATCCTGGCATTGCAGATGCAAGACCCTTCTGCTTAGCTTCTAAGGCAGAAACAATGCCAGCGATATCAATTAGTCGCCGACTGTTCCAGACCCACAATCAATGATGGTCTGTGGTGAATTTGGCTGTTCTGAATCTCTACACTGTCTCCCTAGCATTGCCACAAGAATGACCAAAACATCAGTATCTTATGCTCTAACTACGACATTGCCTGTCACATGAGATGCATGAAATGCAAGGAGCGTATCGGTCTTCTCCTGAATACCTTGCAAGTTGTCGGGTTGCTCAACAGTCACTCTGTTAACATCTTTGTTGTAGGAAATGCGGATATGATATATGACACGACAAGGGTTTTGTTCAGAATTGTACCATTACAATTTTCCTGCCATTCCTGTTGCACAAACCTGGCAAGCTGGTCCTTGAAGATGCCATTACCTAAAAGGCTGGCAGTTCTGTCTAGGAGCTTGCTCAGGACCTGCAATGACAAACGTGTTGTCATTTGCTCCCCGTAGATCCATCTCACTCACCTCCAGGGATGATAGTTTCTAGGTGTCCAATAAGACATGGACTTCATTTCCAAGACAGCCACAAACATTTGAGAGAAGTGATCTCGCCAAGTTTTCATAGGTTGTCACAGAAATGAGTGGACCAGTAATCTACCGTCAATCAAAGTAGCATTGATAGTTGGTAGAGGTGTGTCTGTGAAGCTTGTAAAGAGCTTGCTCTTCTCCGTCTTCAGTGGGTATTCAGTGATGGGGAACATCATCACATTCTTCAGGCTGTATGTAGTTTTGTTTGAGATAGCAACAAGTATCTCTCAGACTTTCAGCAGCAGCTGAATTTATTTCTTGGCAATGTTTGCCACCGTTCTCCTCTGGATTGGTTTCAGAAACTTCTGATTTGCTGCACATTCTTCTTCAAATGGCGGGCATGTCCAGCATCAAGGCTTTCAGTCAGGTCCAACCCTGTGGCATCTGATGATGCCTTCCCTGTGGCGATGTTCAGGAGGTAAGAAGAGTTTGATGCCGGTACTGAGAAAGGGTCACATGCCTCAGTGACTGTCTCATGTAAAACATCTCATTGCTAATTGTGTCGCAGGTTGCTCTTCTGTTTCCAACCCTGTCATATTTCTGTAACAGATGTGCCTCGCTGCGTTGATGTAATGTGCATTTCCGAACAGTAGAATCCTACAATTCATCGGAGACGCAGCATCTCGATTTTCAGTTAGATATAGTGGCAAATCTTAAGATTGCTTGTCCGCTTCAGTGAAATACCCTGCCTGGAGTATTCTCTTACTCTGAGGCATTGCATTCTCAAGTTGGTTTGAGAGATTAATTGTCCGTATTTCCTATATCCTATTTCCTATGTTAGATATTTTAGAAATTAGATATTGAAGTCCGGAAAAATCGAAAAATATTTAGTATGAGTTATTGCCCTTATTCTCTTAAACACTCCGGATTTTGATGAAACTTGGCATGAGTGTTCGCTATCACCCAAGGATGAATCCTATTGAAATAATAAAATCGCAAAATAATTAATATGAGCTATCGCCCTTTTTCTTGAAAACGCGTTCAATTTTTAGCTTGTAAACACTCTAGAAGTTTCAATTATTGACAGATTTTGACGAAACTTGGTGTAAATGTTCGTTATCACACAAGAATGAACCCCGTCGAAAGATATTTATTATGAATTATTGCCTTCGTTCTTGAAACGCGTGCAAGTTTTAGCCTGTAAACACTTTAAAAGGCAAATTTTGACTAAACTTGGTAATACTATACAGTATCGCCCAAAAAAATTCAAAAGAAGTGTATGACTGAAGGTTGAATATTTCATACTGGTAATTGTTACTGTACTGCCAAGTATTTTTATTTAAAAATCATACCTGCCAGTGGGCGTATATAGAAACCTTTAGAATACGTATGAGACATATTTCTCTACACGATAGTTTTCTAACACACCAAAAAGGAATTCGGACTTAAAAAGTCTACGTAAACCTTTTGAATAGTTTTGGCTTTAAAGATAAACGGCAGGATTTCTTTTAATTAATATTTTCAGATAAATGAAGGGATACATATCTCTAGATTTTGGTATAGCCTATAGTTTTCATATTTTTTCAGCCTACGAAAAAAACCGAATGCCCTTTCTAGTATATACCTGGAAGTTGAATAAAAAGTGAATATGGAATGATTCATGTCAATTAAAATAATCTTACACTTATGTATGTCTAAGATCACGGGAATCATATTGACACTTTTTGATGACATTTTCACATTTTCCAGTTTGAATTACCATGCATCTTTGGTTTTGTGGTGAAGGCAGATTCTGACTTTGAAGAAATGACAGAAGCGACGGCTCAAGGGTCTACGTATTGGTGCTACGTATGAAGCTATAAGTTTATATACACATCCATAAAAAGACTAGAAAACATAAAAACTGGAAACGGGAAGTGAATTTTCACGTCTTTTTGTTTTTATAAATGATATGATTTTGTGCTCCAGAATTCTGAATCCTGTCGTGAATAACAAATCGGATTCAAACTGTATTGCCCGTATCGCGAACACGAGGAGACTCTTTGTCTTATAAGGTCGCTTTTTAAGATAAATAACGCGACAGCACCTAAAATGAAAAAATGAAAGTTGAGAACGTAATATACAATTTTTAAAAGAAATGTTGTTAAGTCAATTAACATTTTCTAGTTTTTAAAACAATGAATATCGACAGAAAAGATTGTCGAATGCATCTGAAAACAACAAGCGTCAGTTGTTACTATGGTCGATTTGAAATCCATCACATGTGCCATTCTTGTTATTTTGCCGATTTTTTGGTTCAGTGCCTGTGGAAAATAGTATAATGACTTCTAAAGACGTTATGAACATTAGAAATCATAGTTGCATTGTTTTCTCATTTTCGTCATTTTTTTAACCATTCAATTTAGAATTACTTCTCGCATAGAAAACCGGAATTGTTTTGTTTAAAATGAAATTGATTATAAATGTGTTGATGCTAGTCAACGTTTAACGATCAACGATATGTTGACCACCGACTCCAAGTGGATTCTAAGAACATGTGGGTTTTGATAATATTTCAGAAGAGATTTAATTGCCTATCGGGAGGAACTTATAATTTCATTCTACCATTGGACTATTGTATTTATATTACCTTTCAAACCGAATAGAGAGGCTAAGACGAATTCTTTCTTCCAGAGAGATAAAAAGTTGGTTAAGGTTAAGTTGGACTCTGCGCGGAAAATGTATCAAAAATCTCAAACAAATCTTAGGTTTTACTATTTGTATCCACCTTTGAAATATTTAAAAACATTCAACATATTTATGTTGCTAAATAGTAATATCATTAGAATGCGCAGGTGATGCTTACGATCTTCCGGTTGAGATATAATTATGCGGTATAGGGCCTGAATGAAATAAAATGCATATTTCTTGTATTTTGGTTTAGCTTCTATAGAATTCGCCTTGTTTGCATTTCTTTTAACGTTAGCCAAAATTTGTAACGTATCTTTACAGAAATGTCTTTCTCGACCGCCGACTGTGTAGCAAAATACTGGATGATTATCTCAGAAGGCAGCCAACAGATCAGTAATTAGCCTGTTTTATCAATTAAAATACTCAACGTTATTTTCTTAATGAATTTATTTAACAGATATTATTTCATTTCTATCAAACATAATATTTGTCTGAGCTGGTA